TTGCAGTGTTTGCATGACGGCTGATATTTCTACTGAATCAAACGCCTTCTCGTAATCTATGAAGGCTATGTATAGTGGTTGGTTATACTCTGAGCATTTCTCTATTACCTGATTGATAGTATGAATGTGGTCAATTGTTGAGTAGCCTGTTCGAAATCCTGCTTGTTCCTTTGGTTGATTGATATCTAATGTTTTCTTTACTTTACAGTAGTATGTAGCCACCTCTATTTTATGAATAGGTCAATAAATTGCGCTGTGTGTATATGTACTTGGAAATGATATCACTAGATGGCGTTAATGGTTTTTGTATAGTTGTCGGGAGGACGAGCAAACAGAGATGGACGAACGGACAGACAGGCGAAAGCACGGACGGACGGATGAACAGACGGAAGCGCGGATGAATGCTTCACCCCACTCATCATCACTTTGACTCCATGGATATGCTGTGACTTTTTTCTCGATTATTTAGTGACGAAAAAATGATGCTTCTTCACTCACAACCAACGACGCTGACGCCGCCATTTCTGCGAAACGAGATCGTTAACGCTATAGCGTTATTGTACATATTATGACTGTTTGCACATTCATTTTAAATGCGAGCGCATTTCTTGGTCGGGCTATGTCAGGCATCCGGCATTGTTAGCGGCGTCCGCGCTTCAGTAGGCACACTCTCACTCTTTCTTCCTCAATAACAGCCGTGGGCGCGCGTGCTTATCCTCGCGCCTAGAACTGGAACATGTGGCACAAGAGAGTGTAGGACAGGGTATGTGCTTCGCCGCTACTTTTCTCACCGTGCGCTCTCTCTCCTCCCAAGCCCCAGTCTCCCATTCGCTTGCTCCTCACTCTCGACCATTCGGTGGCTGGGCGCCTCTTATGGCGATAGCTTAAGTCAGTCGGTGAGGGCGATTGTCTGACGGCAACGGTACCCTCTGTCAGCGCAAGAAATGCGTTCACATTTCCTCACACATCTCTTCGGGAAGGTGGAGGCATTTTTTTTTCGTTGTGAATTAAAGTCCCGTGCGCAGACTTACGCGTTCTGTTTTTATGCGAACATTCGTGGTCTGTGCTCACTCTAGCGTAATGTGCTCGGAATAACAGCCACAACAGCTAAGATAGAGAGAGGTGACAGTGGCACTGCCAGTGGCCGTGATAGTGACATCGTGTTTGTAGCGAACAGTGACATGCTACCAGTATTTTTTACTTCAAATTTCAATGTTGTGTCATCAGCAGAAGTTCGCACACAAGAAGTCAGAGCAACACAACACTGTTCAGAAATGAAAATACCATGAATTCACAGCGAAAACAGCGCAATCAACCGCCAGCTTTCCTTCGCCAGAGCGAGGCGAGATCACACCATTCAGCACTGCACGCAACAGCCACTGCAGCGCTCATGCCTCCAGAGATGGATTTCGCGCCCAATAGCGCAACCAATGATCTGAATGGCCTTTGCACTGTCTTGCTCACCCCCCGTGTCCACCCCCCGTGCACATAGGCGACATTTATATATTTATTTATTTATGTATTATTTATTCATTAATATAATTTGACAAGCGTTGTTTTGAGGTGTAGTGCCTGTTTCTGTGGGATGGTTTGGAAATGCTGGCTTAGACGCAGTACAATAGATGAGCACAATGAGTGCGCGAACGCGTAGGGGCGTTCCACTGCTGACGTCTGCTCGATGCGCTGACCACGGGGACACGAACGCATACGAAACGCTGGCACATCACCTCCACACCTCATTCCAAATCTCGGACAAAAATGAAATAAAGATGCTCAGATTTTCTTATTCCGTCTCATAATTTATGTCAAGTTTTAATCATCTATTCAAGCAACAAATTACATGAACTACGCATGTCGTGGACAATATTTTGAGCCATGTGACGTGGTATATTGTTGAAAACGTCAGAGTACAGTTGTCTATGTATATGGCCAACGTCACTGCATTGCCGTGTACCTAGGGCCGTCATGCCCTGGTTATCTAAGCGCGCGCTCGCAAAAGGAAGAAGGAAGGGAGCAGCCTTCATCTTGAAATTTCACCCATTTCTGCGGTGCCTATCGTTGCACATTTTGGCAGACGTGATCATGAACGCCTCTTCAACGCAGTGCGCTTGTCAGCTCAAAATTGTCATAGCTGAAGAGTGGCCCTTTGAGAGTTCCACGTACTTTCTAGTGCGCTGAAATTCACAGGTGCGCGCTGTAAACGGTGTTTTTTAGTGGCGAAGCTTCTTATAGCGGCATCTGTTCGTCCCTCGTAGTCGTAGTCGTAGTGTGTAACCAGTGTTACATTTTTACCTCCAAGGTGGTGCCGGTGGGAGATTTCTCCTGTGTGTTGTTGAACAACAAAAAATTCGTAGCATGCGCGTTAACTGAAATGTAAATTCTCCTGTCTCTCATTTCCCAGTAGCAGCCATCGGCTTGTAAATTGAGCACTATCTGACAAGAAAGGGTTGCTTCGTTATACTCGCTTGGTGTAACCTCCTTAGTTTTAGAAAGGTTTAGCAAGCGTTGAGCCGCAGTGCCATGAATACAATCAACTAGTATATACCATGAACTCGAGGTAGTTAAAGGGGGGAAGTAGATACGAAGCGCAAAGCCGTAAGAAAGTAAAAGCGGAATTCTCCTGTCTCTCATTTTCCTTTAGCAGCCATTGGCATGTACATTGAGCACTATCTGACAGGAAGAGGTTGCTACGTTACACTCGCTGGGCGTAACCTCCTTGGTTTTATAAACGTTTAGCGAGCATTGGGCCACAGTGGCATGAATACAGCGAACTAGTATATACTATAAACTCGAGGTGGTTAAAGGTGGGAAGTACACACGAAGCGCAAGCCGTAAGAAAGTGTGCGTTTGCCTCCTCTCGTTCATTCGTCGAAATGTACGCTGGATGGCGGTGCTTCTATATCAGGAATATATGATGAAAAGATGCGAGACGGTGGTACTTGGAGTGTTGAATAGGTGGACGAACGGACACACAGACAGACGCATGGACGGACGCATGGACGGCTGCACGGACGGATGGACGCATGGACGGACGCAGGAGCGAATGCATGGACGAACGCAGGGACGGACGCACAGATGGACGTGCGGATGCACGAACAGACGCACGCACGGACGGGCGGATGGACACCCTGCAGTAAATATAGAAGGTTTATTATATACATAGCCATGAACTATATAGAGATATTTGCGTACTGATGCAATATATGCATCTTCTTCAAAAGCTTATTTACGGATCACATAAGCTCGGAGGAACATTTTCATTTCAGTATATTGGCTTTGTGATCCACAAAGCACAAAGTCAAAGGATCTCGAATATTAGGATGTAGTGGAAAGTTCGAGAAGGGTCCTGGCGGTGAGCCCATGCTGCAGCCGCATTCCGAGCTCGCCATGCCGCCGCCTTGGCTGCTGCGGTATTCATAGTGGGAAGCGGTATCGACACGCACTGAGTGATGTCCGGCGAAATAAAAAGGAAGCGCGCCGAGACGTTGAGAACGAGCGCTATATATGGGTGCGCCCACCTGGCGGTCTGTTATGTAATTAGAGCAGGCGCCCAGAGTGGAGCGAGCTTCGCTTGAGCGGTGGCGCGCCATCTAGTGAGTGCTCTTGAAACGAAGAACAGAAAACCTGCATGCGGGTTGTCATCGAAAGCGAAAGTTGCCACGTATTTTCACCAAAACTTGGCGCTTCACAAAAACGAATCTGGTTTATCGTGTTGCGGAGGACCCAGTTCACTCACTGATGCACGAAACACGCAAAGTCGCAGTGTTCGCTTCTTGCGAACGGGTATAATACAGCCGAGCAAGACGGCGTCTGCCTACTGACCATCCTCGTTAGGCCGCTCGCGAATTACGCGTGGCGGAGCGACTGTCTATGGGCATTGGGAATTTCGGGGCTCCCGGCACAACGCCGGAAATTGCCCCTCTCTCATTGTAACTGCCAAGGCAGTGCGACCTCAAATGTTGGTTGTAATCCATGTTTGTTATTTGCAAACGTCTGACATGCGTGCTGAGAGGAAACACAATTTCCTCCCTATTTTTTTCACATCTCAAGCTTTTCTTTTCTGCAAACGGTTGTTGATGGAACTTTGCCCTCCGCTCAACATGTGGCCGACCTCTGCTCTGATCGATCAAGGCTTGATGCCAATGGCGAGTGCTCACTTCGCTAGCTACGATACAGTGCCAAGCAGTCCGTCTGTATCACTGAATAAGACGGCCTTTTAAAGCACAAGAGCATTCAATGGATGAAAATGGCCAATAGCTGTTCACACTTTCCAAAAATGTCCGCTTTGCAAGAGCGTTGGTCATGGGAGATGACAGACTTAGAAAAAAAAACACTTGGTTGTCTCAATGGGATTTCTTGTTGTCGTTATTTATTTCCTTCTATTTTAGGGTCCTTAGTGGCTATGAAAGCCCGATGGTCTCTTGTATATTCACAGCCTCGTTAGTGTCAGATAAGCGAAAAAGCTACATTATTCTCAAGAAAATAGCTGGTTTTCTTTTTGAGGCAACGCACAAAAAAGGCACATGTATGCTCCCAAGTAGTCCTATTGCATTATGCAAAGTATACTCACATCTGATTACATCTCAGAGCAAAACTATAAGAAGTCTGTACACTTTTCGCACTTTTCATTAAGTATTTGTTCTTGTCGAAGTAAGCTATAATTTTTTTCAACATATACATACTAAAACAAGAAATAAATCCAGGAAAACAGTACTGACCGTGTGCGTTTTACGAGTTCCCGTTTTCCTAAAGCGTAACAAATCATAGATACGAAATAAATAAAGCTCATTCAATAACCCATGTTAGAATTATTTTGTAGCAACCTTTGGCGTCGGAGATTACAATGACAAAATAAGAAAATTCTGTTATACATATCTTAATCCCAAAGAAGAAAGTGTACTTTGAGAGCACACTGGGCATTGATGGGCTGTCGCTAGGCCCGAAAAAGCAACGCTCTTTTAGTGGTGTAACGGATCTTGGACTTATGTGTAGGAGATTACCTTTTCGCGCGGGAGGACGGTGAAGGTTATGTGGCTGAGGCAGTCATCCAGTTTGCACGGTTGGTACGAGGCGCAGAAATCCTGGAAACTGATGCTCCCTTCAGTTGGCCACACAGGACGGATGGACGTCTTGACCTCGGCAGAGCCGTCTCTACGAACGAGTTTGCCGTGTTTTGGCACATCGGGGTACTCCTGCAAAAAGGAGAGTACGAATTCGAAAGCGCAACGGCTCCTAGGTGGCTCATGAATATCGTAGCAAAAAAAAAAAAAGGCAGATCCCACATACAGTGGGAATCGATAATATGCGAAGCACGAATTAGAAATGTTGATATGTCACTTTAAGATCAGCACAACGTTACGAGGTGGAGGTAAATGATCCCTTACATGACTTCGGTGTCATGACTATCGTGTTTGGATGTGTCGTTGACCTTCGCTATGTATTCACGTCACGTGATACCAATTTTAGTACAAGCGTGGTATGTTGTCATGTTCTTACATGACACGCGTGTCAGAATTATCATGTTTGTACCAGTCATATACCGTATTTTTGCGCGTATAACCCGCTTCTGCATATAATCCGCACCCACACTTTCAGCTCACCGAGAGAGAAAAAAAATCCTCGCGTATTGCCCGCACATTTTATATACAGGAAAGGCTGTACAAAAGCTACTGATTAAGCAACATAGCACATATGTAGACAGAAAAAGCTTTATTTTGCAAGCAGAATGCGCTGTCTGCAAGGCCAGTCACAATTTACTCACTGTCGCTGCTTTCTCTAGAGCTTTCACTTGAGCCGTAGTCCTCACTATTAGGCACAAGGTCATCCTCGGTTTCATCCATGTTGTTTGTGATGCAGCATTTTTTTAAACCTTTTTCGCACCATCTCACCTGGAATGGCTTTCCATGCCTCGACAATCCACTTACAGAAAAGGGCAATATCAGGCCTTCGGACTCGTCCTGTCGACGTCAAGTCGTAGTAGCCTTCGGCCATCCACTAGGCGCAATAGCGCTTGACATGTGCTCTGAAGGGCTTGTTAAGCGACACATCTAGAGGCTGCAACATTGACGTCATTCCACCGGGTATAAGAACTAAGTCGGTGCCGTTGCGTGAAAGGCGGTCCTTCACTTCCTCAGTTGTGTGGCCGCGGAACGAGTCAAGAACGAGCATGGACCTCTTTGCGAGCATCGCACCGGGCCTCTTCTCCCATACCGTCTTGATCCAGTCTACGAACAAGTCACTGTTCATCCACGCGTTCTCGTGTGCGTGCACCACCCCAACGGCAGGCAAATGAACCTTTGGTAGAGTTTTCCTTGTCAAGATTACGTACGGTCGCAGTTGCGTGCCGTCGGCGAGGGCACAAAGAAGACTGTGATGCGCAGTTTTGTGTTCCCGCTGGGCAGCACGCTCACCGAACTGCTGCCCGTCTTCTCAATTGTTGTGTCCAATGGCATTTCAGAATAAACAGGAGTTTCATCCGCATTGCCGATTTGCGAGAAAGTGTAATTGTGCTGCTTTCGCAGGCCAAGTACATATCTCTGGTACTTGGGCAGCTTCTCCTCATAAGAAGCCGGCAAGCGTTGTCATATTGTAGTCCGCCGTCTGATTGAGAGCCCTTGCCGCTTCATAAAGTCGTGCAGGCATCCGCTGCTCGCACGGAACTCGTGAGGTAGGCCTAGCTCCCTCGAAAGTCGCCGCGCTTCCACTTGGGCCATCTAGGTCGATACGGCGTGACCCCTGCTTCTCACATCTTCGATGAACTTTACTAGCTTTGCCTCCAGCTCAGGGTAGGTACCGGTCTTGGGGCCACGAAATCACCTACGGTCGCGGTGCGCGGCTTGTAGGCTCTCTTCTTTCTCCACAGTCGCAAGCAGGACTCGTCCATATCGTGCCGTGTTCCCGCTTCGCAATTTCCGAATTCCTCGGCGACGGCAATGATCTTAAGCTTTTGCTGTGTCGTGAAGGCCTGCCACCATACGCTACTCATGGTGACAGAACAGATCGACTTAGGCTTGGTGAACGGGTCGAGATGTGGAGAACTAGCGGTATCAGCAAGGTAAAGAGCGCTCACACTCGGCGACAACTTGACAGCACTACCCCTCCTAGTACACTGCAACAGCACCCTGGAAACAACAGAACCGAAATGCATGCCTGCTACCACGCCAAAAGTAGTACAATAATTTACTGATAATATCTCTATAGGCACTATAATATCTCATTTGGCTTGCTGAAATGAATACTGCTCTATTTATTATGGAACTTACTTTACTTATTATGGAACTTTCTTAGACAGCACCACCTTTTTGGCAAGCCCTTTCCAAAAGTAAACATGGCGTCCGTGACGTAGGGACATGTGGAGGGTCACTGAGCGGCCGCGAACCTCCAAAAATATACTTGTGGTGTGACAGTGAGATTTTACACTGAACAATCGAATTGTCTCTCCCCAAATCTTTTTCTAAACGCTTCAACGATGCAAGCAAGCGAAACCAAAATCGGCCGCATGCTGCCGTGCTACTTGCGGAGCAACACGAATTTGCGGAAACCGCCTCCGTAGCCTTCGCTACACTGTTAAGGGGCTTCACAGCACAACACGCAATGCTGTGAAGCAGCACTATAGAAAAAACCGCGTATTATCCGCACCTTTACTTTGCCACTGAAATGTTGGGGTTTTCGGTGTGGGTTATATGCGCGAAAATACTGTATTTAGTCATCCACTGACGTCACGTAACACCAAATTTGGTATATGTGGAGCTAACAAAACGGCCACGAGCGCATCATGAAGGGCCCAATATACTACAATGTAGTGTTGACGCGCGCGCACGCTGGGCACAGCAACACTACGTTAGCAAAATACGAGCACTCTACAGAAGAGAGCACGCCTATCTCGCACCCAGGCGCCTTCGGCGGTATACCCTCGCTTCCAGAGACGCCATAATTTGTTTGCAACTGCCAAGGTGCATTTCGCTATCGTGCAATGTAGTGGCTCTGGGAGTTTAAAATGCGAAAAAGCGCCTGTTCACGCTGCGCCCGGTTATAAAATGTAATCTGGGTACCACTGCGCTGTTATTCAATGCGACAGCAACCGGCGCAAGAGGAAGAGATTGCTGTGTGCTGCCTGTGAATTTCACAGCGCATCGCGGGAATCGTGCCGGTGCGGTGTTTTGCGATTACACAGAGTTCCGTCCACAACGAAAAACGCCAAGCTCCGCTGCCTGAGGATATAATCCAAATCAGCAGGAAAAACAACGAGCCCAGCGAAGTGTACAAGTAAGTATACCTATTGCGCTTATCCAAGCACGGCTCCAGCTGTTTCACTTTAGAGCAGCGATTTGAGTTTGAGTTTGAGTTTATTCAACCACGTGACAAGTACACAAAAATACACTGTATACGTGGTTTGGTGCGAAGGGAAAAAAGCTGCATTTCACAGCTTCACTGGCCCTTTCAACCAGAGAAAAATCTAAACTACAAATTTACAAAAGTTACAAAAATTACAGGCAGCGGAAAACGACAATACAAAAAGGCAATACATTTGCGTGTAGCATGCCTGTAGTATGAGGCGCAAAATTATTGCCGTACTCTTTCACAGGTTGCATGTGAATAATAAAGGATATACGTGTTACGACTCAAGCAGATGCATGCACCGTGCACGTTTAATAAACTGCAACGGCCTACTATTGCGATGCGTGAACGGCGTGGAAAGCATGACCTTCGACTTGGTCGAACTGCGACATGCCTTGACTTTCACTATAGGCGTAGCTACATGTGATTTCGGCCGGCGTCACCGTTGCAGTTTAAAATCATGTTCTTACTGGTAATTTTGCACCGCGTGTGTGTTCCGAGTGCCCGGCAGGACTGGCAACTGATACACATGCGGTGCAGGAGCGTAAGTTGAAACCAGATTCTAGTGCTACGTTGACGCCGGCTTACAGCATAAATTCTGCCTTGTCACTGCCAAGGCCTGCCGAGGTTAACGCTTTCCGTTGTTCGCGGCAAGACCGGCACCTGGCGTGGCAACGCCGGCGTCACGCGACGAAACGAACGCAGGCGAGCACGCACACCGCATCACGTCTAAATGTATTGGTGCTTCGACAGGGACATTTAGTCATGTTCTCACATGACACGCATCTCATGATTATCATGTTTGCACCAGTCAAATAACTTCGTGATCCATTGGCATCACGTAATACCAAACTGGCATATGTGAAGCTAGTGAAACGGCTGCGAGCGCATCGTGAGTGTGGCACGTAGCCATGTTGTTAAATTACACGCATATCATGATTATCACGTTTGCATCAGTCGCATACCTTCTTCATCTATTCACATACTGTATTACCAAAGTTGTTTTGATGTGATGCTAGGGAAACGGCCGCCAGCGCATCGTGAGCGTGAAATGTAGTCATGTTACATGACACGCATCTCATGTTTATCATGTTTGCACCAGTATGATACCTTCGTCATCCATTCACGTTCCGTAATACCGAGTATGGTACGTGTGAAGCTGGCGAAACGGCCGTGAGCGCATCATGACCGTGGTATGTAGTCAGGTTGTCACATGTTACGCATGTCATGACTTTCATGTTAGGGTCTTTTGCTTGTGTTCGCTAAGCAATCATGCCAGACCATACCAGTTTTGCAACATGCCATGTGAACTAAACCGCCACAAGAGCTGCATGGCCATGAAATGTAAATCATGACATTCATGGCATACATGTCATGATTTTATGTTATGAATAGTCAAGCATGTTTTTCATACAGTCATGTTATGCCATGGCAAGTTTAGTATCGATACCAATATCGAAACGGCCAGGAGAGCTAAACGTCGTAGGCGGCTAGATAGATACGCTCAAAATCGCCGAAGCCCCGCCGTGGTGGTCTAGTGACTAAGGTACTCGGCTGCTGACCCGCAGGTCGCGGGTTCGAATCCCGGCTGTGGCGGCCGCATTTTCGATGGAGGCGGAAATGTTGTAGGCCTGTAAGCTCAGGTTTGGGTGCACGTTAAAAAACCCCCGGTGGTCTAAATTTCTGGAGCCCTCTACTACGGCGTCTCTCATAATCATATGGTGGTTTCGAGACGTTACACCCCACATATCAATCATTCAATCAAAGTCGCCGAAGTTCGCTAAGAAACGATTCGCATTTAACAGGGCAACCAAAGAGTCATAAACATAAAAATGCACAAATGTGAAAGAAATAA